TGCCAGGCCCCCGTCCTCCATTTATCCGTCATCTATCGTCCATCTCGATCATCTATCCATGTGTCCATCCATCCATCTGTCCATCTCCATCACCTGTTCATCCATCCATCTGTCCAACCATCTTGAAATACTTCCAAGGCTACATCCAGAACGTAAATCCTTTGCAGCAGAATTTCTTGGCCAAATGGTGTGTGTGTGTGTGTGTGTGTGTGATAATCGCCAAATGATCCTACCTATCGAGCCCCAACTTACATTCTCAAGAGCATGAAGTAGGGACTGTACCCCCACTTTGCAAACATAGGGTATCATCAGTGTGCACTTAGCCCCTCAGGTGACAGCTGTGTCCCTTTGGGGCAGAGCCGAGCATGGTCTGGGCAGCGTCCCCCCCGGCCATCCACGCGGCTGTTCGTTTCCCCAGGGGAACGAGACGAGGCGTGGGAGGCTCTGCCACGCTGCCTCCCGCTCGTCCGTGGCTCTGCTGCTCGGGGTGTCCTACACCCCTGGTTCACCTGGAGTATGCCGCGTGCCATCAGACGCGAGGTGGCCCGGCTTGACTCCATGAACAGCAAGCCCGCTGTCACCTGCGTAAGCCGTCTTGGTGGGCAGCTGAGTGCCCCCTACCCAATTCCAAGTCCCCTCATCTGTGCGTGTCTCCCCGGGACTGCCATGGCCACTGTGGCTTCACAGAGGTGCAGGCCGGCCCCGCTACCTGTCCCGTTTCCGGCCCCTGCGGACAGCATCCCAGGGGCCGTGGCTTCCTCGCGAGCAGGACGGTGGAGCCGGCCCAGCAGCGTTGGCCCTGCTGCCCGGACCCCGCTCAAGAGGTTGCCCCGCCCCCGAGGCCGACTGGCGCCCGTCCCCACGGTGCCCGCGTGCAGCCAGTCTCCGGGCATCTGAGCTGGACAGACCGGGAGGGGGCCCTGTGCTGGCGGCGGCTTCCTCTGGGGGGGCCCCTGTGTTACTCCGGCCCCTGACCCCTCTGGGGACAGTCCACTCCCAGCCCGAGCCCCAGCTGAGGTGGCAGCCAGGTGTGTCCACGCGGTGCCAGGACCTGGGTGCAGCCGAGTGGCCTGGCCGTGGCGGGGGCAGCAGGGCGGCAGAGGCCTCCTGGCCACTGGCTGGTTGGTAGGACAGGCCGGATGAGGGGGACTCGTGCGGCAGGCCTCGGAGTGTGGCGTCCCTGAGCCAGGCGGGCCACGGCCTCCCCAGAGGGGCGTGGATGCAGCCGGCCAGCGAGCGGGATCGGGGGCCGTGTGGTGTGGACACAGGGCCCAGCAGGCCTGTCCCTCTCTCTGCAGGGCGATGCTGGCCCCGTTGGACCCAAAGGGTACCGAGGTGACGAGGGGCCCCCGGGACTTGAGGTGAGTGCCCTCCCCGCCCTGGCCCAGACCCCGGGCCGGAAAGAATCGCACCCAGAGACCAGACGGGGACACGTCCGCTCCCTCCAGCTTCTTTCTCGTGCTTCGCGCGTTACTTCTCGTGAACCCGACTTCACAAAGTTTGTGTTTTCACTGTGAGCCTTGTCCTAAAGCCTCACGAGTTCTCAGAGCACGTCGACCCGTGCGTGGGACGGCCACCCCGAGGTTGGGTCTGCCCGTCTCTCTGCCGCCCATGTGGGCTCGAGACGGCTCTGGGTTCCCCGCAGGTGCCCGTCCGTTTCTGCTCGCGCCCTGGGTGCCCTGGGTGTGTTCTCCGAGCCCGGGGCCACCCCGTTGGGGGGACGCGCCTCTGCCACGGCCGAGCAGCCGCCTCCTCCTCGTCCCCCGCCTCTTCCTCCGGGAGGCGCCCGAGCCTGCGTCTCGCGGCTCAGGTGCCCGCTCACTCTCCCCAAACCCGCTCCTCTCCTCCTTAGGGTGCTCGAGGCGCCCCAGGGCCCGCAGGACCCCCCGGAGACCCTGGGCTGATGGGCGAAAGGGTGAGTGGTGGGCCCGAGGGCACAGGGCCCCGGAGGGGTGACACCTGGCTGCCCGAGACCCCAGGAAGCCCTGGTTCGAGCCCCTGGCTATGGGGTCTGAGGGTCCTGGTCAGTGACTGGACAGGGAGGGTCCTCTGCAGGTGACTGTCCCCTCAGTGTCTGCAGCCACCACAGGCCGCGAGCACAGGCACGCTTTGCCTGCCCGTCTGCTCCGAGGTCCAGGGGGAGGTGGGCAGAGAGCCACAGGGCAGCCTAGGCTGAGAGACACCGTCCGGGCTGCCGAGGGACCCTCGGGAGCCCCTCCTGTGCCCCCACTGTGCAGTGACGGGACGTGGTCTGCTCCCCCAGGGTGAAGACGGCCCCCCTGGAAACGGCACCGAAGGGTTCCCTGGCTTTCCTGTGAGTGCCCCGCCCCCGCCCCCGTCCCCCGGGCCAGCTGGGCACACCTGGGCCAGCAGGCGGGACCCCGGCCTTGGTGGCTGGGACTGTCCGTGGGGGCCTGTGTCAGAGCCTGGTGTGATGCCCCCCTCCCCCCACAGGGCTATCCAGGCAGCAGGGGCCCACCTGGGATAAACGTGAGTACACGCCCACTGTGGGTACTGGCGCGTGCACGTGCACGTGCCCTTGCACGGCCCCTCCCACGTGTCTCCGTCTGTGGGGTCCCTGCACGGCCCAGTGGCCGGCATGCCTGCGGGGTGCATGGGAGCAAGGTTGCACCCCAGAGTCCCCTAAATCTCAGGATGTCTGTCCTCTGGCCTGCGCTCAGCCTCCCCAGGAAGGGTGTACGGGGTGGGGGTGGGCGGACAAGACCTCTGTAATCTTTCTCCTTTTAAAACTTCTGCTTCTCAAATAGAAATGAAAGGCATGTAAACTGCACCGTAGTGAGCCGATTTAAATAGGACACCTGAGAAGAAGGGCGACAGCCAGGCTGCCTCAGGAGCCCGGCTGGACGCCGCAGAGGACATGGCTGGCCCCCGCACCCACACACACCCACTCGGGACTCTGCTCCTCCTAACCACGTGCCCCCCTGTCACCTGCAGGGTACTAAAGGCTACCCCGGCCTCAAGGGGGACGAGGGAGAAGCTGGGGACCCCGGAGAGGACGTGAGTGCAGCCCTTCCCCGAATGCTGTAACATCCCAGCCGGCCTCGGCCTCCAGGACCTGCGGCCGCCAAGGGGACGGGGGACGGGGGACGGGCACGTGGCTGTGTCTGTGACGTGCTGTTTCCTTCCAGAACAACGACGTTTCACCCCGTGGCGTCAAAGGCGCAAAGGGGTACCGGGGCCCGGAAGGCCCTCAGGCAAGTGTGGCGGGCAGGGTGGGGCACGTCGGGGCTCTGAGGCCGCGGCAGGGGAGGAGGGCTGGCAGGGAGTTTGGGGAGCCAGTCTCCGGGGAAGCCCTGGGAGGCTGGAGCTTTGACAGGTGGGGCTGGAGGGCGCACAGGGGGTGGTGAGCGGGGAGCGGCTGTGGGCAGCCACCAGGAACACAGCAGAGCCCGGGTCTGGGCCCCTGCCCATCAAGGCCGTCCCTTTGGGATGAACAGAAGGGTCTACTGGGCAGCCAGCGTGAGTGGGCCCCATCCAGGATCCCGGCCCCAGGAAGGGGGTTGTGTTGGACAGTTGTCGCAGAGTACACAGCAGTCCCGGGTGCACCCCAGCCCCTCACGTGCAGGAGCCTTGCACCCCTGGCGTTCAGGGGTCCTGGGGTCCTGGCGTTCAGGGCAGGGGGGGGTGTGGGAGCCCTGTCAGACCCACAGTTCGGGGGCGACCGGGGCCGCAGGGTGGCCGCCAGCCCTTCCCCCACCCTTTCTCTGACAGGGATCCCAAGGACACACGGGACCGCCAGGACCGGACGTAAGTGGAGTCTGTGAATGCCCTCGGGGGCCGGCCACTCTGGCCAAGGGAACCCCTGACAGCCATGCATATGTGTGATGGGTACCGGAGGGACACGGGACAGCCACGGGGGGACGCATGATGGCCACATGCCGGTGACAACATCAGGGGCCCATGCCCTGGAAGCTGGGGCCTACGGGCAGAGCAGGTCACACCCTGGGAAGTGAGAGCCCCCTGCCCACCCAAGCCAGGCTTTGGTCCCAGGGGAGGGTGACCCAGTGGGCCGGCCTCACCCTAGGAGGCCGGGGCAGCCCTCGCTGGACAATGGGCCAGCTCATCCCTTCGCCTCCCCAGGAATGCGAGATTCTGGACATCATCATGAAGATGTGCTGTGAGTGTCTCCGTCTTTGAGTGACTGTCTTAAGTAGAAAGAACATGTCCTACTCTCGGTGGTCTCATGGGGGGAAGCGAGCAGCAGGGCCGGGCGTGTACCCACCGTGAGAATGTGCCCCGGGCTAGGGGCTCAGCTACCCTCACCCCCAGCACCACCCTCAGCACCCGTGGGGAGGAGGCCCGGGGAGGCAGGTAGCTGGCAGTAGGGTTTGCGTGGGGCCGGGGTCTCTATGCCACCTAATCTCTTCCCCCTCTTCCCCAGCCTGCTGTGGTGAGTGTCGCTTTCTGAGCTTCCAGCAGACGCCCCCGCGGGTGGCGGGGCTGTGCCCCCTCAGCCCGGGCTACAGAGTGGCCTCCATCCCCCCGCAGAGTGTAAGTGTGGCCCCATCGACATCCTCTTCGTGCTGGACAGCTCCGAGAGCATCGGGCTGCACAACTTCGAGATCGCCAAGGAGTTCATCATCAAGGTCATCGACCGGCTAAGCCGCGACGAGCTGGTCAAGGTGCGCCCTACCCTGGCCCATGTGCTCCAGGGGAGGCTCTGACCTGACACCCAGCCGGACAGGGGCCGGGTGCTGGGGGCCCTGGGAGACTGGGTGCGTTTCTCAGAAGCCACGCCCCCAGCGTGGGCGTGGCCTCGGCCCTCTGGCCCTGGTGGGTGGAGGGGCAGCCGGGCCTCCTGACTGGGCACCGGTCCCTGCAGTTCCAGCCCGGGCAGTCGCACGCGGGCGTGGTGCAGTACAGCCACAACCAGATGCAGGAGCACGTGGACCTGAGGGACCCCAACATCAGGAACGCCCAGGAGCTCAAGGAGTGAGTGTGCCGCTCTGCCGCCCCACGCCCGCCCCGGGAGCCCGTGGATGGCCGGCGGCACGTTCACGGGCGAGGCGCTGCAGTACACCCGGGACCGGCTCCTGCCGCCCACCCCGAACAACCGGATCGCCCTGGTCATCACCGACGGCCGCTCGGACACCCAGAGGGACACCACGCCGCTCAGCGTGCTCTGCGGCCCCGACATCCAGGTGGGGCCACGTCCACACGCGCCCTGGGCCGTGGGGCGGTCCGCAGCGGCCGCCCTGACCTGTCCTCCCCTCAGGTGGTCTCCGTGGGCATCAAGGACGTGTTTGGCTTCGTCGCGGGCTCTGACCAGCTCAATGTCATTTCCTGCCAAGGCCTGGCATCCCAGGGCCGGCCGGGCATCTCGCTGGTCAAAGAGAACTACGCGGAGCTGCTGGAGGACGCCTTCCTGAAGAACATCACCTCCCACATCTGCATAGGTGCGCGGCGCTGGCAGGGCGCCGGCCCCGTGGGGCGGGGCCAGGGGCGGGGCCACGGGCCTGGAAAAAGGCTCCCATGGGTTGTGCAGGCAGCTGGTTGACAGACAGCTAAAGAACTGCGGGACTCGGACCTGGGCCTTCTCCCCGCCCACTGGGCACGCGGTCAGCATTGCAAGGGTACAGCGTGGCATCGGGACGGCAGGTCACGGTCTGTGACCCTCAGACCATCTTGTCTCCTCCCGGAGCCTCGGTTTCCCCATTCCCAGAGGGGGTCACGACTCCGCCCTACCCCTCACTGGGGTGACGCGAGGACCACAGAACCGTGCCTGGGGGGCTGTTCCATCACCTCGAAGACCGACTGCGAATAAGGGGTCGCCCCTTCCTGGTGGGGCGGAGGGGGCCGGGTAGGGGCCGACCGGGCGTTCAGCAGCGCCACCTGTGCGCAAGGCCACGTCGCGCCTTCCATGGTCGCAGATGGAACTCATGCCGCGCCGGGCCTCTCTCTTTTACAGACAAGAAATGTCCGGATTACACCTGCCCAAGTAAGTAGCGGGTGTGGGCGGGGCGCTGGTGCGGGGTCTGGGGCACCCGAGGGTGACGGCGTG